CTCTCACTCTCACTCTCTCACTCTCACTCTCACTCTCCTCTCACTCTCACTCTCACTCTCACTCTCACTCTCACTCTCACTCTCACTCTCACTCTCACTCTCACTCTCACTCTCTCTCACTCTCACTCTCACTCTCACTCTCACTCTCACTCTCACTCTCACTCTCACTCTCACTCTCACTCTCACTCTCACTCACTCTCACTCTCACTCTCACTCTCACTCTCACTCTCACTCTCACTCTCCCTCTCACTCTCACTCTCACTCTCACTCTCACTCTCACTCTCACTCTCACTCTCACTCTCACTCTCACTCTCACTCTCACTCTCACTCTCACTCTCACTCTCACTCTCACTCTCACTCTCACTCTCACTCTCACTCTCACTCTCACTCTCACTCTCACTCTCACTCTCACTCTCACTCTCACTCTCACTCTCACTCTCACTCTCACTCTCACTCTCACTCTCACTCCCACTCTCACTCTCTGTCTCGTAGAATGTATGACATTGTAAGCTCCAATTATCCGAATTATTCAAACATCCCGAAACAGATTCTGGCCGAAAGGCGGGCTCACGCCCCGACATGGCTACTTCCCCTTGTCTAGCCCCCAAGACGAAAATGATAGTAGCCGACTGGCCGAAATTAAAAAAAAAAAAGTTCTGGACCCAGGGCCAGGGTGTTTGGATAGCTGAAACGTGAGCCGATGTACATGTTGTAGTGACTGTTGTAGATTTGCATGACTGTACATTCGTACGTTTCATTCGTTCATACAGCATTACAGGTGCTGGTCTAGGGTAGGGGTGCTCGAATAACCCACCCGCTAGTGTGTACACGTGTGCAGGTGGAACCGCGTGTGCTGTTGTTTGTTGTTTGCTGTTGGATTTGAAATTCGAGTGACCAAACGAGCAGAGGTGTTCAATGACAAGGAAGCGAAGGAGAATGTTTAATGGAGGTGAAATCCAGCAGACAACACTACGGACCGGTTCTGGCCAGAGAAATCCGATCACATGAACAAAGTAACGCCGCGCTCAAGTGAGCAGAGTGGTGTTTGTCATGCTAGGGCCGCATACTAGTAGCCCTGGGCGCACATCCATGTGGCCGGATTTCTCTGGCCGCTTGGGAAAGGGGTGGGGGGGGGGGGGGGTTGGACAATGCGGGCTTTGATACAGGGCTGCGTACCGGTACATTTAGGAGAGAGATACCTCGTAGACCTGGAAGGAAACATCTAGTTTGGTGCAAGACAGCTAGTATAGTAGAAAACACGAAGGCTAATAAAAAGTAGTCGTAGCGTAGTTTAGGGATTGGAAATGGGAAATAAAAAAGAGTCTACAACTCCCTCGTAGGCAATGGTATCCGGTACCGGCAGACGCCTACAATACAGACTCAGTAGTCATGCTACGCATACAGACAGTCAGCTTACATGGTTTATGTCCTGGTCAGTGCTGTTCAATGAAATCTAGTTCGTTTGCACCTTGAACCACTTCGCAGGGATCGCAGCCCAGTGTCCGTATTCGCAGACCTGGGGCTGCACAACGCCCGGCGACTCGGCGGCGAGCACTTGAGTGATCGTGGTGATGGGACTGGATATCAGCAGTACTGAGTCTGTAGTTGTTGACCATGATAGACAGGCCTTGCCAGGGGAGCGGAAAAAATCGGTGTTCTCCGCGGTAGATCTACGCGTGGTGGTGTGAACCATGGTGAACGGTTACGTGGAAGTGTGATAAGTACACCCATTGACCGCCGGGCACCACACCGAGACATTTGAAGCAACAATCCGGATCTTGCATTCTTGACTCTGTGGTTGAGTACTGCACTGACGTCAATGACTCATTAGCCGATAGTGATAGATCTACTGAGCCACATGTGGAGAACGAAGAGCTGTAGATCTACTGCATGCAGTGAACGACTCCGCTATTCGAGCGAAAGCAGCAAAATAATTTTTGTTTGCATCCTGTCCTGTCGGCAAATGTTACGGTGCGTTCGTGGACGCAGCTTGCTAGTCGTGCAGACCAAACTTCCGTTACCAGATGTTCAGGTGTGCGGGGAGCTTCCATTTCTAGCCAGGCAAATCCGTCATAGTCGGCAACCTCTATCACATTCGTTTTCCTGTGCGAGAGCGGATTCGTATTCCTCCCCGGTTCCAGCGAAGAGTCTGGGAAAGGCGACGAGTTGGTCTTCGGAAACGTTAGAGGACTTCTTGACATGGGTGGGCACGTAAGTCATGAACTAAGTAGAGCTAGCTCTGTTTAGTGTGACTTAGGGAAATATTATATTCCAAACAAGATGATCCGTGATGAACATTGCATCAAGCGGCGGACGACACCCTGCATACAAAGATAACTTTGACGTTGGAATGTTTTCTTCTCACGAATACCAATACGAATTGGACAAAATACGTTTTGCAGCAGAGGATGTGACGTGTTCGGCAATTTTGTGCTAAGTGATTACGCCTGTCAAGTCTCTAGTTGGGTCGTGAGACCCATGTTGAGTTGTAAAGAGGTACCTTACTCGCGCGGTTAGAGCCCTCTCTCGAATAGTGCACCATCTGGAATAGTGGTCCAGTCTCGAAGAGCCAGTGAAAAAGAAGCCCCTCGTGAATAGTGCCCACCCCCCCCCCCCCCTCCCCCCACCCACTGGTAACCAAGCACATGTGCAAGTTTGGTGTTAGTTTGCTAATGTAAGAATCTTGTCCATGTCATTGCATTGGTGGCTTCAGGACCATAATCACAGTTCTTGGTGCCGTTTCTGTTGGGTCGTGATAGTTTGCAGTCAACTTCCGGCTCTATTTTTGCCTTCTTTGACAAAATTTGACAACTGAATAGCCAGGTGGGAGTGGAAATTAGGGGAAGAGTGTGAGTGTGTTGATAGATGGTGAGACATACTCTGTGTGAGTGTGGTGATAGATGTTGAGACATACTAGTGTGTTGATAGATGGTGAGACATACTAGTGTGTTGATAGATGGTGAGACATACTAGTGTGATGATAGATGGTGAGACATACTAGTGTGATGATAGATGGTGAGACATACTAGTGTGGTCATAGATGGTGAGACATACTAGTGTGTTGATAGATGGTGAGACATACTAGTGTGGTGATAGATGGTGAGACATACTAGTGTGTTGATAGATGGTGAGACATACTAGTGTGTTGAGAGATGGTGAGACATACTCTGGGGGATTGGATTCTATTGAATGGTTTCCTTCGGTTTACCAACAATTGAACATGCCCTGTACTGTTTATTTATTATTCCCGTAGCTATGCAAAAGACGTTACTTCAGTAACGTCTGGCGCTAGCCAGGGTCCACACAGCTGTAATTTGTTTGTTTGTGCCGTCGGCATGCCTGACGTGAAGCAACTTGGAAGAATGAGTATGTATGCGAAGTGTATCGGGGGAATGCATGCAGGGCGATGGGTTCGAATCCTAGGTTTTGTCTTGAAGAAATAGGAGAAATCAAAAATCTATAACATCCCTATGATTTTTTTGCCAAGGTAGACGGTGTCGTATTACCCTCGAATGCAAAGAGAAAGTTTATTTCTTTCACTCAGGACCCTACGCTATTCTTTTTTGCCTAGCTCATCATGAATGTTAATCGACCAGATGGACACTTTTTGGAATACAATGATGTAGCCGATCAGTTCGTTGTGGTATGGTTGGGCATTGTAGCCGTCATGGCCGACATAAAACACAATTTACATACACAAGCTCGGGAAGCAAAAGTCTCTGTCCCATAAGCTGCCACATACCAACTGAATCCAAAACCATGCACTTCACACGAGCTGACTTGCACGCGTGGCCCTTTTTACGAACCCAGGCAGAGGGATTGGTCTATTATAATGCATGTACGAAGTCACCAGATTACACCCGCACCAGAGATGAAGGCGAGAGCTGTTGCCGAAGAACGGCAAACGGAAAAGATTCCTGGCGCTATCCTGTACCTGTCTCGTACCGTACCATCAAAGACAGCTGGCCACAATATCCAAATAGGGCTTTCAAATGCAATATCATAACTTGACGCAACTTGGAAGAATGAGTATGTATGCGAAGTGTATCGGGAGGATGCATGCAGGGCGATAGTGCGGGTTCGAATGCCAGGTTATGATCTGATGTCTTGAAAAAATAGGAGAAATGAAAAAATTATAACATCCTTATGCTTTTTTTGGCTAGGTCATCAAGGTGGTTGACGGTGTCGTATTACCCTCGAATGATCAGCTAGGCAGCTAGGCAAAAAGCATAGCGTAGGGCCCTGAGCTTCCAAGCTCTCTCGTTATTTGAGGGATTCCCCAAAGGCAGAAGTCTAAATCAAGGAGGTCTCCGGGAATAAAATTTAATATCGCTGTGATTATAGTTATGAAGATTTTCATGTCTAAAGATATATTTGAACTCGGATGGTGAGCTAATATAGTTATGAAGATTGTCATATCTAAAGATATATGAGCATAATTGCCAGGCTAAAACAGCGAATGACAATATTATTTTTCTGAGGTGCAATACAAGACATTGTAAATGCACCTTGTCATGTTGTTGCCCCTCAGCCTCGGCTTACTTGCGTGTGGTGCATAACGCTGTATACAACAGCATTGTCAGTGCATACAATGGCAGTGTCGGTGCATGTCATCCACGGCTGAACCGGTTCCACACAGCAGGAAACTGACATGCTGCCAGGGCTTGCTCCAGACATTCAACACAGCCCGGTCAGAGTGTACCTGGCACATGCAGGCCAGCCGGGTCAAGCCGGGTCAGATCATCCGGCAGAAAAACAACCAAAAAGCCTGCTGAAAACGCAGGAAAACAGAAAGGCGAATTTATTACCGGAAATCGGAAATTTTATAGAACAAGGCGAACTATCAAAGTCCGCAAACGTAGAAGGTAAACGACATTGCGTGAAGAATGCAAAGCAGTTCCATTGGATTCTGATTTAACAATTTGAAAAAAAGGAATTCTGTTTTCGGTGGAGTTGCAACGGCTGCTGCTGCTGCTCCTGCTGCTGGCGCTGCTGCTGGCGCTGGCGCTGCTGTTGCAGCTGCAGCTGCTGCTGGCGCTGCTGTTGCTAGTGGCGCTGTTGCTGCTGCTGGCGTTGCTGTTGCTGCTGCTGGCGTTGCTGCCGCCGCTGCTGCTCTGGGTGTGCAGGCCAGGTCCCTCCGTTCAGACGAGGTTGACGTTGCAGTCGTAGTGCGCCGAGTCACCTCAGAATGCCATGCAGCCATAGCCTTGTCGTAGTTGAAGTCGGCGACAGCAGGAACGTCGAGCTTGATTGCCATGATCATCTCCAGATTCCTCGTCGACAGCGAGTTCCGCATCGCCGTCTTCACAAGCTTCAACAAGCTGAAGTCTCGCTCGCATTCAGCAGTGGACAGGCAAATGGCCAATCCCCAGTCAGCGATGCGCGCCAGGTTCGGGTAGTCTCCAGCATGTTGCTCGGCGAGAAGCTCGAACATCTGCGGGACGCCTTTCGAGGCCCGGAGGTTCGGGTGGGTGAGCATTGCTGACTTCAGTGCGGTCCACTCAAGCCGGCACTGAGTTGGATCGACGACCAAGTGCGTCGCGGAGTCGCTGGGGATGTCGTCAGCATCGAGCTCGTCGAGGAGAATATTCAGCTGGGGAAGATCATACTCAGCCACTTCAGTCCGGTGGGGCAAGTTGCGGGTGTCAAATATGCCCAACGCAGAAATCACAGGTAGCCCTGGGAACCGCTGACGGAGGCAGTCCACGAGGGCTTGCAGGTAGGGCATACGGACATTTCTGTCAAACGATTGGCGCTTGGCATCAGTTACCTGTTTGAACAGTTGCAGAACACAGAAGATCATTCAGTTGATTGAAAATCTTGTTTTGTTGTCCTTACTGCCAATGCAACAATAATTTACAAAAACTGAATAATAATGGAAGCATGCAGGCAGAGAATTATCATCCTACATCCTCATAGAGTGGATGCACCTGCATTACATCACGGAGTCACAACAACATTTTCAATTCACCTGGATCATGATGTCACGTTCAGGGTCCTCGGATCGCAACTCTGTAATGAACTTGTCCGTCTCCTGAAATGTCGGCCCTGGCTTCTCTTTCAGGAGTTGGATTGCCGTTATCATTGAGTTGACATGCGGCTCAAGCTGGGCAAAGTTGATCGTGGCGGCCTGGAACTTCTTGGACAGGCTAGCAAGCAGCGGCAGGGCGTCAGCTAGGAGGGAGAGGCTGGCAACAAACTCATACGTCTTGATTCTCTTGAGCCAAGCTTTCGCGGCAGCATCACTGGCCTCAACACTCTGTCGCTGCAGTTCCAGCAGGATGGCGGCGAAACACTTCCGGAAGGCAGAGATTGCCGCGTCGTACGATAGCCACCGCACGTCCTTGGGCTCCTTGAGCTTCAGTATGGGCAGCGTGAGCTCCTCCTGGAGGGCGTGGAGCTTGGCCTCCTTGACGCCGGAGTTGGCAAATAGACGGTAAATGCCAGCGATGGTGGGCTTCACCTTGTCGTACAGATAAGGGACCGCCTTGACCGCGTCCGCTGCTGCGAGGGCTTCCCGGTGGCAGATGCAGTGGGCCGCCAGGCTCTGACGCATGTCGTGGTCACGAATCAGGCGCACGCAGACACCATTCAGCCTGCCGGTGAAGACGCTGGCTCCGTCGCTCGCCAAGTGGCACTTGCGCCAGTCCAGGTTGAGTTCACGAAGCTTCTCCTCCATGGCTGTTTGGAGAGCTACAGCATTACGCGGACCAATCTCGCAGAGGCCGCCGAATCGGGTGGTAATTCGACCGTTTGATACACAGCGCAAATGGATCGCCATCTGGCCAAGATTGGACACATCCGTGGTCTCATCCACCATCACGCCGATGAATGTCGCTTGCTGGATGATCTGCAGCGTCTCAGCATGCACAGGTGTATATAGGGCCGCCAGCATGTCGTCCCGAGCGATGTGGCTCGTGTACGTTGCGTTGCCAGCAAGATGCAGGTGGGAGATGGCTGAGACACCCGACTCGGACAACAGACCTATAAGACACCCAACAAAGAGATAGAAATACCAACATATTTTGGGGACTGCCACACAATCTCAGGTCATTTTCAGGTATGGTGCCATAATGTCGAACAACTCTAGGTGAGCATGCAATAGGAAGACACACTCTAAGCAACATGTAGAGGTGATCATCGAATGGTTACACACCTTGTGGAGTTGCGCAAGTTCTACAATAGAGACCTCAAGATTTGTATTGCACGTGTGTGGGAGTGAATCTAATGCAGCCTGAGCACTAACCTTTCAAGGAGTTCCATTTCTCAAGAGCGACGTTTTCCTTCACCAGCCAAAGCAGTGTTCGCATAGCCGCAACAGCTGCCTCATCTCGTCTAACCGCCTGACGAGCAAAGAATCCACCCTGCTTTGCCGCGGACTGACGGATCTTCGCTGCAGCCTCAGCATCACGGTGTCCTTTACTAGGTTCGTGCTCCGCGACTACTTCAACCTTTAGACGTCGGCAACCTTCCAAAATAGTTCAAAGAGGAAAAGGGTATTTTTAGTCCGGCGCAGACAAAATGATTACTGGAGCGGATGTCGAAAGCTAGGGTAGGGTCGAGAAGCATGCCGATAATTCGAAGCAGTGAGTTCTTACCTTTCAACCACGCATCGTGACCAAATCCACCGCCGCTCGTCTTCCTTTGGAAATGCGTCTTGCACAAAGCGCATGACATGGATAGACTGGCATGGTCGTAGTCCAGCCAAGGTCGACCTTTCTTCCAAGAGTCTTGGAAAGCGTGAGTTCTTTTTCTCTTCGCTGCGGGCTCCATCGTCCAAATCACCAGTCGCCTAAAAATTTGCAACTGTGTCAAAAGCTTAGCTGCTATAGCCAAAGTTACGCTTCTGACTCGACTGCCTGCCCCATCGACTTTGAATGTCCTGACTTCCTGCTCGCCCCTGGCCGGATTGCTTGATCGCGCTCGAACCAGTTGACCCCAGTTGACCTTAGCCGAGTTTCTGTCGCTTGTAGACTGTAGTCTGAGTGTAGTGTGTACCATGGTGTACGGTTGCGCTAGATTTCCAACAGATGGGGTCCGCGAGTCGTATAATACCGGTATTTTAGGAATCCATTGTCAGTTTGAGACATTTTTCAGCCGGGTCAGACTGGACCCGGTGTTATCTGTTCAGCCAGGTCGTGCAGTTCCCCAGCCGGGCGCGTGACCCGGCTGACCCGGCTCTCCAGCAGGCCCTGGCTGCAATCGTAATCCTAGTGGACGTTGCGTAGCCGGAGTGAATCTGTTCAGGTAGCGGCTCACACGGCCATGCAGAGGAGCTGGACAAATTCCAAGTGTGGTCACTTTGAAAGATGATTCTCACACAAACGTATCATGGTTGGAAAGGGTGAAGTCCTCCATGAAGGCCTCACACAAGTAAAGAACGTCGGGCTCAACACAAACAGCACTTTCCAAACTTTCCACACAATTTCAATACTTCACCATCAGGTGGAATAAAGGCGAAAAGAACCTGAAAACATACAATGAAGATTATCCAGTAGACATGAGGTAGAAAAGTGAACACAATTTCCTACAGCAAACCATAATATAAATGCCTTGCTCTCCAAATGCGCAAATGTGTTCATTCTGAGCTCGTGTAAACGAACATGTTCGCAGGCAGCGGTTCTGCATAGATCCTAGATCGTAAAGTGCGAGGCTAGACCCAGTGCAGTCTGTGGTGTGTGTGCAGGTGACGTTTCCACTGTTACCAGGGGTGGCAAATACGGTGCACACCTAGGCCCGGGATATTTTCTCAAAAGCCGGAATTTTTTCAAATCTGTCCTGCTGCCCTGCCGCACATTGGCATCTTACTTTGGGAATTTATCGCATTCAATAAGTGTATGGACTCTTCTGTTTCCTGCGCAGTCACGAAGAAGAGCTGAACATGCTCTGTCGCTAGCAGTGTTATCAATATTGACATTGATGTTTGAACAAGGGCAATCTACGATTACAGGTAAGCTAACAGAGAGGTTAAGAAGCACGTTATTTCCGACGTGACGCGAAAGTTCAGCTCGCGTTTTTTGGCTTGCACGTCGAAAACAACGCGAGTGACGGGCAGCCCAAGTCGAAAATAGGAGTTTCACGCCATATTTGACGTGAAATTGCACGTCTGGTCGGAAATAACATGCATCTTTAAAAGCTCTATTACTTCTATCATTGCTCATCTCCTTATGACTAGGCACTTCCCGCCACTGCATGCACTGACCAGCCAGTCTCCTCTCCCCCTTAGTGGTGAGTGTGCAGACATGTTACTGTATCCAAATGACTGGAAGCTTCTATTCAGGTACTGTTCTAGTAAACGGTATAGTTATATTCCTACACAGAGCAACAAGGCACAAGGCTAGTCTCATCCTATGCAATCATCAAGCGACATGGAAATGACTTGGGTGTCGCCTCAGCCAACGCCGCGTCACATAACCGTCCCTGCCTCTACAGCCTCTTGTTGACTACATCAGCCACGCATGTTGGGCTAAAATAGCACTGCAAGCCTTCAAACTCCCCCCCCCCCACACACACACATGCATACACACAGTTGATCACACTGCTTGCTAGCACCAGCAACCCAACACCCAGTTCATAACACCACACCACCAAAAGCACACAAAGTTGTCCTGGCATAAGTACTGGCATGGCCAACAGCATCCATCTTGTCTCATGATTATATAGCATGGAACTGAAAGGCACCAAACTAGCCTTGTGCCTTGTTTGTTCCGTGTGATACGCTCTGCCTACGCGGTATTGAACACTCTCAGCACATGCATGCATCCTCCGGTAGTTATAATCCTATTCCTAAACAATGAGGGTGCATAGATCACATCCACCAACCAGACCGAAATGGCCGAAATCCCATGTCTCGCATCCACATAACCCCATGCAATAGGTCAGATGAAACTCGGACAATTCCACGCGCTTGCTGTTCACATGTAGGTGCAGCTCTATCATAGCTTGTACTTCGAACACGTATAGTTCATGTCCTTTCTGTTCGGATGGAGTAAATGACAAATCAGCTATCATATTGAGGAGGAGGAATCTTATTGGTATGAATATCATCCTGGTAGATTGCTTTCACGTTATTCTTGTGGACTTCACTCTGCTGAACAAAGACCTGATAATGATTCCGTATACAATGAGGCTAACCCTGCTGACCATCATATAAAAAGGCGTTAGCAAAAACAAGTGTCGTCACTCACAAAAACTTTTCTGTTGCACTTTCCTTTGTCTGCCAGCTCCTCCAACAATCTCCTTCATCAGCAACTCTACAACGGTTGTGTCAACATCCTTCACAGTTGGATCGCTAGCGTTGTTTTGCCGAGGATCAGGCGAAGGGCCACTCACGTATGCCTGGTCTAGGGACGGAGTTGTTCTACAAGCCGCCAGTGGCACACATGGTTGGACATACCGGTTTTCTGGCAATCTCTCTGCAGCTGACTCTGGAATATACACCTGCACAGTTCACAGTCCGCACGGCCAGTCTTCGAAACAACTCCGTCTAAACGTACTTGGTAAGCACTTGAGGGTTTTTCCTTTAGGGTTTGTGGTGCAACCAGTATGATTGGCTTTTGTTATGTGGAGTTACGCCATGTTTGGTCCTTTGAGATTTCAGAAACCCTTCTCTTCTCTTGATTTCTGAGCAATTTCAGATGAGTGTGCAATGGAGAACGGGTCAGTCTTTTGTAAGAGAAATGCACACGTTATCCTGCCACGTTTCTACTTTTTCCAATCAAAACAAATTCCCCTGTTCTACTTGTAATCCTGTTTCTATTCTCTCTCCCATCTGACTAGATAGTCCTAGATTCTTGGTGAACCCGCATGCACTGCTCATGCTTGTGCCTAACACACTGACGGCCACTACAGCTTCTTTTCGCCTCACTCCACCATCATCAACTGGCAATTCACCAATAACAAGTTATGAAGTCACTTGTAGACCTGATATGGAGTACAGATCGTATGTGAACGGCACTGTCCAGACGTTTTCAGGGACAAATGTCACCGTCACTGGTCTTCAACCAGCCACCAAATACAGTTGCTGGTATCGCGCAGAGAATGCAATTGGTATCAGCTCTCCTACTCCAAGCCTTCAATTCCAGACTCTTGAGCTGCGTAAGATTTTTCATTGTGGCTATGATTTTTGCCTCGCTCAATCTACCTGCAAAGTACGCACACAACTGGACAAGTACGCCCAAGAATTGACATGCTATATGTCTACAATAGAGGGTGTAATTTTGCAGACTATGTTTGTAGAATAGGAACTGTCCACGCACTCATGGTCAATACCAATATTCTAGACCAGTTCCGGTGGATTTAGTCCTCTCACCACTCAATATCACACATTGCTTACGAAGAGCTGAAACGTCACAAGCTGCTGTGAGATTGGGGAACAGTATGCTCTATCCTGGCTGTGCGGCTCTACCATCTAAACTGCAATGTGGAAATTCGGTTGGTTCGTCCGCAGGGATACTATCCCCCCCCCCCCCCATTGCACGAAAGCATGTGGGAATACTGCTGCGACAGCAATTTTGTGATGATACCAGTCATCATGAATGTATAGGCGATTTCTCGTAATCGAAAATGTTGAAGTCCTGTCCCCGCCACCTTTCCATAGTGATATTCACCCCTGATATCAGGCTATCTCTTGCAATAGAACCGTGCGAGATGGATGCATGTCTTGAGGCATACAATTATAATGGCATGCAATCATGAGTCTGAGAAAGGTATCCTTCGGGTATCACATGACAATTGCAATTACATACTTCGAATTAATTTTGTTTGCTTTCCTATCGTTCTTACAGGACCTACCAGGCTGGAAAACCTAACTGTCGTCTCTAATTCACCTGGATATCTTTTGATTTCATTCCGAGTAAGGCAATGGATTATGATTTTTTTTTTACTTTTTTTATTGGGAACACATCCCTACAAAGAGACATGTGGAGACAAACACAAGCAAGACACAGGGGATGTAGGGACGACGTGCCGATGTACAGGGAGCAACTCGACCGACCAGGAGTCTCGGCGTTAGCGTTGCAACCTGGCATCGAAAAAAAAGGGGGTTGCATGGTCAAGTAGCAAAAATGATAATTTGGTGCGAGAAAGGGGCGCTAGTATTGCACCAAATAATATAAATACGCGTAATAACTAAACCGGAAGGGAAAAAGAAAAAAGAAAACAATAATCATAACAAGCAAAGTACTAGTAGAAAGGTAAAATGGGTCTCAATATCATCGTCACAGGTACCGTGTGGACCACAGCCATCTCTTTCGGATTAGATCCTTACATACGTTGACTTTGAATGTTTGGAGGCGTCTTGAATGGGGTTCGTGAAGCAGGAGGTCCGCGAGCAGGTTGTTCCAGGGTGTGATGGCGAAGAAGGGGAAGGATCGCAGGAGGTAGTCAGGGGCTGTGCGAGGGGGTGTCCACTTCAGCTGGGGGGGGGGGGGTTGCAACAAATGTTTTGATCCCTAGTAGGTGGATAGATTACTGCAAATGCGACGGATTGAAATGACTGGTGCAATCTGTGAATTTGACTACAATGCATACGTTTTCCTGCAGCCAATGTCGCCAAGCCTCCAGCATGGCAATGTTACTGGATACGATGTTGCATTCAATGCAACCCAATGCAGTACAGCGGAGCAATGTCCGTGTCCATGGTACAACTGCTCACTGCATGGGACGGCCACTTTTGATGCACGTAAGCAATTGTGAGAATCCTCTGGAAGCACCTTGTACAGTATGGTATGCTAAACTATTCCACACAATGTAAAGGTGCACAGCAGAGAGGACTACTAATAAACAGTTCACCGCTCTAACAGCATTGAACACAGCACTTCTTTCACTTCGTGAATACAATAAGGCGACTGAAAATGACACAATTCTGCAGTGATCGACCTTCTCTCTCACGGAGCTAAACAGAATGTGCGTCATCGCCTGTAGACTAGTCGCCAGGGAAACGCAATCAGAAAATCGGCGATATGGCAAGTTTGCAACACCGTACGGAGACGAGAGATATACCATCGGAACCGATATCAAAGACTGGGTACGAAAGGCCTTGTCAAAATTTGTCGTGACGTGCTGCGCGTGTTTGGTTGATTCACAGTACATTTCATATAAAATGGTATTCACCAAACAACTTCCTACATTGAAACACATTTCATAGCCCTCGACAGAATGATCAGCTCACTGAATATTGCCCCAGCAAGTATAACATCCACATTGCCAGGGCCATGAACAATGAGTGATCTATGACAATATATTTTAGGAACCATGGAAACAAATACAGCCAAAAATTGTACATGTTGCAATATGTCTTGCTTGAATGTAGTTCCAATTGAATATACTATTTTACTACTTCGAAGTATGTGTATTTTGTGTAGGAGATAGTGCCAATATCAATGACAGGGGCTTTTGATGTGGTGTAAATTCTGTGAATTGACCTTCTGCAAGATATTTTCCAACAAGAAGAGCTCTTCTGATGAACCATTTTACTGTAAAACTTCATAATGATGCATGGCACCGAAAGTGAACTGAAAACTTATTTTGGCAAGACGAGCATGTTTTGTGAATGGGTCTGTGGATGTATGAGCGTAACCTACAGTCTGTGCATCAAACCCACATGTCAGCCTGTCATTCTGTGAACGTATTTTGGTGAACAGTCGATTTCCCAATACCCAGGATAGCAATTATCAAATCATTGCTAGAATGTTTAGCTCTATTGGCAAACTGAGATTGTCCATTGCTTCATCCCTACCAGACCTATTATGGACTCGCGCAATTGACGATCTGCAATATGTTTTCACTTCAGGGTGGGTCGGCAGCTCTATATCCTTGTCTAGTTTGCGTCACTTCACATCGTACCAAATCTCAGTTGCTGCAAGCAACAGGGCCGGGGTTGGTGAGAAGGCTGTGATCACCTTCAGGCCTAAAGAACTCGGTAAGATCATCTAATGTGCGGATAATGCCAGTAAAGCTGGTCTCATACTCCGAAGCTTGGTTGTTAACCAAATTGCCCGCAATGGTGCTGAGGTTGCTGTTCAAGAAGGATAGGAAGATACATTTCCTGTAGGACCTTCCCGGATTTACACTAGTTACATCACCTTCCAGTATCCGGATTGCTTCAGATGGAGTATACAAAGTCAAATCTCTGTAGATCAAGCACTATGGAACCCATGGACATTGTTTGCAGCAATGGCAATTCTTCTTACCTGTGATTAAAAGATGCAATTTCAAAGATCATGTGAGAGTCACAAAAAAACAACACTGACTTTCATGCATCCATGGAAATGCTACCACCCATGTGCAGCAAAGTGTCCGTGCGGTTCCTGAAGCTCTGCTAGTTTTTTTTCTCTGCACGCGAGCAATGCTTTAACCGACTGACCTACAGTATGACTCGTATCCACAGTGATGGCAAATCTATCCTTCTTCGATCAATCAAGGTCTCTGGTTCAAGTCTCGGTGGTGTGACTGATGATTTTTTCTTTCTTTCGTATCTGGCTTGCAAGTGTTGAGTTTCGGAGAGAAAAGAGCAGTACGAGGCATGTGGCCTTTAATTTCCTAGTACTTAACCATAGAAACTCGTTTCCTTGTGTTTTCTTCTATTTTTGTTGCGTTATGTGTATGTTAAATGTAACTCGCACTCGCTGACTGTATAAGATCTCGTTACGTTGGTGGACAGTTAGTCATAACTCGTAACATGTTGTCCTTCTTCTTATGTGTATGTGTATGTGATTGATGGCAATGTGCAATACAGTGCCGGGTCCTGTGAGGAATATTACCGCTAGGAGAACATCAACCTCTGAAGTACTGACACAATGGCAGGCCCCAGAGAAACCCAATGGTGAGTGATGCTACATATAAAGCTTGTACTCGCACATGTATGGTCCACAGTCATGAGTCGGTTATCCAGTCACATGGGCCACCATGCAGCTGGTAAGCTAAACAGTCATAATGCTACAACCTACTGCACTGTGCCATAGAATTAGTATTGATGTTACAAGTTTCTACCCAAAGGGGTGGGGGGGGGGGGGCACTCCCCGTCCTCTACTCTGATAGCGCACCACCTTAGTCATTTTTGGATTTTGTGCTTTCAGTCAACACAGCGAAAATGAGGCCGCAAATCAATCGTCCCGGGCACTCTATGTTGCATTTTTTTGTGACAAGGCTATAGTGGAAGACGGAAAAGGGATGAACTTTTGTTTTCCCATAACCCACCCTCTGCAATGTTTTTCCTGGCGAGTACTCTGATGTTATGATACTGTGCTGCTCCCACCATATCCAGGCGATATCCAGTATTATCAACTTGGGTACAGCGTCATAAGTTATCAGTACACTATATTGCGAAGAGACGAGATCAACATCAGCGCAGCTGAGTCACAGTATACCATTGCTGGGCAGCCGAAGAACAGCATGGTTCTAATCATATTATGTGCTGTGAATTCAGCTGGTACTGGACCTCGTGTTGCGACACACGTTACTAGCAAAAGAACAGAACAACAGCAAGCGTATCCACCAAACAGCTCACAACCTACAACAGATCTCTTCTGCTCTATGCCAACGGATGCTGACTGGACTTCACGAGTCGCAAATTCGTTCAGCTCTGAAACCATCGATATGATGAGAGAAGGCTTTGAGGCAAATTCCCACGTGAATTTCGCCTGTCGGGAAGGATTGTATGTATCTGGAAATGTAACTCTGCGGAATCAAATGATCAACTGCATGGACAATGGAGAGTGGAGCGACAAGATCGCCGCATGTACAAGTGCACATACAGGTAAATGTTTGAGAGAATTTGCTTTGCAAAGAATTCAGCACGAGGAATATGCCAGCGTAGTCAGTAGTGACCGCATATTAAAATATACAGATATGGGGAAATCACCTTTCCTCCCCAGTGGGACATCACTAGCCCAAACTAGCTGGTGTGAGATGCACATCATAAATCGAGTGGGAGGATACATTATATGATTCACCAAGCTGGAGGTATTACTACAGGGTGCGATGTCCCATGCGTGTCAAGCTATGCCAGTTTTGCATGTGAAAACCCCTATATAATTGCAGTTTGGTCTATATTTTAATCATTCAACATCCACCTTCACTGATGAGCTATGTACAGTCAACTTCGCTTATAACGACACTCGGCGGGGCATCAGAAAAGTGTCCTTATTCGCGAAGTGTCGTTATACCCGAAGTCTCATTATATGTATTACAGTTGGAAGTAACTTTGCTCTGGGAATGGAAATGCTGTCGTTATTCGAGAATTGTCGTTATATCCGCAGTCGTTATTAGCGAAGTAGACTGTATTATTAATTTTACAGATTCCATTTTTCTAGACAGGTGGCAAAGTAAAACAAACTAAAAATCATTCTACCAAGGAAAATTGTGGGCACAAGTTACTGTATAGCAGGAAATTTACAGAAATATTTTCGGAAAAAGCCGAATTTCGACCTTTCGTGCGGATTGTATTTTCGTACAATGCTGCATGCTTGGGCACCCTGTAAGAAGACCTTCGGGTCTGTTGGGAATGCCCAAGTAAAATAATAAAATACAATACAAAAAAAATGCTAAATGCACGTGTTTGCATGCAGTACGCGCGCCCCTCATAATGTTTAGACGGAGGTCTGTCTCGTTGTCCAGGAAACGACCAATCAGCGACATTCCCGCCAAGGGCCTTATCAGAGTTTAAAGCCCGCTCAATCGTTATTTTACTACTCTTGATGACGCGTCGAGGGCCTTGGATTAGTTTAAAGCCCGCTGAATATACTCAAAACTGGTGCGTACAACTCCCTGTATGCATAATAGTACGGTGCAGATAATGAACTCTGCATAAAATGTACGGTGTACTACTAAAAGCTACGCATTTCAGAAGTGTGTACGGTTTTTCCCTCCCATATTCTTTCATCTGTACGAATTATTATTTCCTTTGTCAACAGCTTGCGGAAACCTATAAAAACCGAAGATCAAAGTCATTAGAGGTATCGACAAGGGGCTCTCAAAGCCCCTGAATAGCTCCACAAGCTATGAATAAGAATGAAGCTCGCAATAAGCCCAGCATTTCATTTGCTTCTATTCTACTTCTAGTAGTCCTAAGTGGTGCTGAGTTACCATAACTTACCAGAAGAAGATATTCTTTTATACCACACCAAGTCTCTCTGCACACAAACCACAAAACTACCCAATATAATGGTACACAAGCATAATGGAAGTGGGATAATGCATGTAACCTCGTTCTAAAATAGTTAGTGCATGGCAGGGAGGGTCTTATGGCTTGTTTGTGCCCTTCAGGGTAGCCCTCGGACCTTCGGCCCGAGGGCTAACCTGTCGGGCACTAACAAGCCAGAAGGCCCTCCCTGCCATGCACTAACCTATAAATAGTGTACATAATTTCACATGAACAAATATTAGTACAGAGGCCGTGTACGAAACCGCACGAAAAAATTCCGTCCGAAATTTTCCTGCTATACAGTATGCGATCGAGTCCACCAACTAAACTAGATTTTTAACAAGCAGACGTGCACAATCTAGCATTGTCAATTTCTCAGTACTCCCTGTCAGTTTTGTGCTAGATTGTGCACGTCTGATTGTTAAAAATGTGGTTTAGTTGGTGGACTTGATCGCATAACTTGTGCCCACAATTTCCCTTGTTATAATTTTTTCCTTGGCTCACCATGTGAGCTGTTAAATAATATCATTCCGATTGTGCTTTGAAGTGTCTTGCACCGGCGGTGAATTATACACTAACCATATGTTCCGCCGTTGGAGCCATGCCAATGTATAAGCCGCAACCCAAGATTATACATCTCAGTCTGTGTTTGTTGACCCAGTTGTGTGGTGGATCTGATTTACTCACTTCCCGCCACTGAAGGAGATGCACATGTGCCTTTGTGCTTGGGTGTGGTTGTGCTTGGGTGTGGTTGTGCTTGGGTGTGGTTGTGCTGGGGTGTGGTGGCATTCCAACGAATGCGGAAAACTCAGCCTGACTCAGTCTCAAACAAGCCGTTAATTTCAGTGGTTACTCGTGTTGTAGTTGCTTAAAGTTTTTTGTATGAAGACCATTTAACGTTGCCGCAGAAATGACTGAAATCTTGAGTGGAAAGTGACATAATTGAGAACAGGATAATCAGAGCCTCAGTGTCCCTCTGCGCGCACAACACTCCGCCAGCTGTACATGTGTTCGCCCAACCCTGTTGTCCAGCTCATGTATTAGACCATGTCATCGTTTCTCTCTGCCAATGGTTTATAAATCGTCGACGCAAGTTGACCAGAGTTGATTTTCTAATTGTGGCTCTGAGACCGAAAACAATGGTACATGTATGTTACACAAAAGACAAATCCAGGCTTTTTGCACTTACCGATATGGTTTGTGAGAATCTCAATGTTTTGTTACTGTATAGCAGGAAATTTTCGGACGGAAATATTTTCGGACAAAGCCGAATTTCGACCTTTCATACGGATTATATTTTCGTACAGTGCTGCATGCTAAATATACGTGTTTGCAAGCAGTATGCATATAATTATAGTGTTCGTATTTTCTCATGAACAAATTTTAGTATGGAATTAATTTTAGTACAAAAGAGGCCATGTACGAAATCGTACAAAAATAAATTCCGTTCGAAAATTTCCTGCTATACAGTATATTAGACTCAAATGGAAATCCAATGACTAATCTATAGTGAAGAAAATGACCAAGGAACTACAAGTTACGCTATAATGTCCGCCAACACCACCAGCTACTTAACAATCAGCTCATGCGATAACATTGCACAAAACTGACCGACAGTACTGACTTTCTACAACTAACTGGCTATCAGCTCTAGCACGTCTTGGGTGCGCACTCCAACAGCCTTCCAACTTGAAAGGTGCTAAGATGTATGAAAACATTAGAGGGGAAGGTCGCATGAACTGATTGTAAAGTAACTGGTGCCGGTGTTAGTGGACATTATGGCGTAACTTGCAGTTCCTTGGTCTTTTTTTGTTATATAAGCTATAGATAATGTACGGTTAAACGATTCAGGAAATGTGTCCTAAATGGCTTTTGGCATTTTCACATATCCTAAACCTACAGGTGTGAACATTGCAGAATCTTCAGCAAAGAAATCGCTATCATCACCTGCAAATGCGGAATCTGTTGACGGAGATCAAGAATCATTAGCATCATCATCAAAATGGACAATTGCTGCATACGTTCTCGGAAGCGCCACAGCCCTCAGCCTTGCCGTCATGTTTGTAGGTCTTGTGCTTTGGTGCAAATATTTGAAACGCACATACTTTCTTTGACTCCACCATCAGCTCAAACGCAATGGAAGGGACTTAACTGGAATGTCATGTCACAGACTGGTTCCGAATGGGGAAGACCATACGTTTTCAGGTGTTCGTGTGTGTGTGTGTGTATATGTGTGTGTGTGTGTGTGTGTGTGTGTGTGTGTGTGTGTGTGTGTGTGTGTGTGTGTGTGTGTGTGTGTGTGTGTGTGTGTGTGTGTGTGTGTGTGTGTGTGTGTGTGTGTGTGTGTGTGTGTGTGTGTGTGTGTGTGTGTGTGTGTGTGTGTGTGTGTGTGTGTGTGTGTGTGTGTGTGTGTGTGTGTGTGATAGGTAGTTCGGTTGGTGGATACACTTATGCCATATAGTGTTGGGACTGTTGCCAACAGGCTCGGCTGCTTGAAGGTGTATTGTTGTACCTACCACCTTTGTTGGTTTCAGGGTTCATATACTTTCTATTTGAAGTATACATACCTGCTAACCATGGACTGCTTCTGGCTTGATTAACTCTTGTGTAATCAATGGTGCTAGTGAAACTCATATCAGATCCACTCTGATTTAGCCACCCACACTAGTAGCAGTATTACCTTCACGGGGACATGGGTGACTGCAGTTGGATCCCAGGACGGATACCCTGATGCCGGCAAACCCTTTTCTACACCTTGTCCGCGCCCACTTATTGAGGTGTGGTGAGCATAAGTGGGATCATTTCCAAGACCACCCATAGTTCAGGGATTTCAGGGGAGTCGGCCGTTGGGCGATTCAATAGCCAATTGAGTCATCTTTCCAAGATTCCTTTTGAGTCTCTCTCCCCTCTCCTGTCGACCGGTTTTGGTAGTGAGCAACAAGTACAAGTAAGTGTGTGTGTGTATATGTATGTATGTGTGTACGTGTGTGTGTATCCACTTACTCCTGTGCTGTGAGCCCGTAAGTGGAGTCATATTGTAATGCCACTGATAGGTTGGGGATTTAGGGGGTTGTCAGCCGTCGGGCAATTCAATAGCCAGTTGAGTACTCTTTCTCAGATTGTTTAATGTCTTCCCCCTTTCCTAAGGAGAGCAGAGACCCCCACGTGACCTGTTCGTAATAGTGTGCAAGTGTGTGTGTGTGTGTTCATGTTTGAAGTTGCTGGACTACAGCGACTGTGTCCATTCCTTTGCGTCGACTATGGTTGCTACTTGTCTTGCCTCCTTTCCATGCTCTAAACATGTCAGTCTTCTCAGCGCTCTCAACATTATTATGCTAACCTACCACAGTTCCCATTGCTTATTGGGGACGTTTCACTCTACGGAATTACGTACGAAAATAGCGTACGGAGTGGACGTAGTGTCTGCTACGTAGCAATTTGCGCTGCTGGGTTTCGCTCTACGTGATTCCTTGACGTCTGCGAAGCATGCTTTGTTGTGTTGGAGACTTGCTGGCCGGACTCACAAACACGGGCGCCATAAACCTCAACAAAATTCTCTATTAGTTTCCCACGCATCGCAGACTTTATTGTTCGCAGCTTGAACCCTGATTAAAAAATGCGGAAATGAGAGAAGACAATAATTGTTTCAAAAGTCCTGCGGGGAGGTAGCGTAGGAAAGCGCCTTCCTGCTGAAATGCATAGAGAGATTTACATGTGAAAGTTGCCCTCGCTACCCGACACACATGAAACACGGATTTCATGCGTAATTTCTTAGAGCGAAGCCTCCCAATTGCCAAAGTAGTTAAAAAAAAAAAAGATTACTTCGGGTTTGTATGTACGCACTGTAAAATCTGTCTTTAACCGATGCCGCGGTGCAGCGGAATCTATCCACATACAACAGGATTTATTTTGATTGAGGAAGGCGCGCACGATCCACAATATGCGTGTCAAACTAATCGGCAAGACGTCATCTCTGGCTCTTACTCGCACAAAGTCATTGCGGCGGAGGTTCTGTGAAAGAAAATTTGTGCAGCCATTGCCTCTAGGTCACAAAGTGAGAAATTTTGGCCGAACCTTTGCAACTTTGTTTGCGTAACTTACTTGCATGAAACGCTAAATTGAATTTTCGTGTGATGTTTTGTGAAACCGCGAGTGAAAGTTCAAATTTTCTTGCAGGTAAAAGTGGACTTGGTGCACGAAATGTGTTCCGTTTTCTGATTCGTTAACGAACACTCAATTGAGGCCAGCTACTCTGCCCAACGTTCCCATTACTCCAAACTCACTATATTTTCTCTTGGTGTGTTGCGGCCTGCACATGTCTGTGTGTCTGCTCTGTACTCTAGCGTGCAACATAGCAGAAACCAACAGAATTATACAAACACATGCAAATAAAACGATAAAAACTCGGATGTTGAGCCAATAGTAGTATTATTATTATTATTATTGCAAAAAAGTTACAAATGAACGGTCAACGATTTAGTGAATTTACTTCAATAAATGAAACTCGAAAACCTGCCGAGTACTGTAGTACAGTCATGGCATTGTACAGCTAGTTGACGTCGACCTACGGAGTGTCAAAAAAGCCGCGGACATACATGATTGTACATTACTGTTGAATCGGGAAAAGGACGACACATTATCCAGACATTACAACGGGAAGAGGTTAGTGGGAACGACATTTATTCTAGACGACGAGACAAGAGACCAAGACGAACGAAACGACTACTTGTACATTGAAGAGTGAGAAAGAGAGCAAGTCTGAACGGCAAGATAAATGGCCTGGGTAGCTATGGCAAATATGGGCGCGCAAGTAGCTACCCAGGCCAACGGAACAAGGAGACAAAAGGTGAGTACGCAAGTGCATGCAGGCCAGCTAGAAAAGGTACGGGAGGAGGTACCTAACATTACTATAATACCAGCAAATGTGCATATTGTACGGGAAAGTGTGTATACCTGGTGACGGAGCACTCCCACCCTGGCATTGCCATGTACGCCGAAGTCGGTGCCGCGGTGGCGCGAGAACTGGAATAGAAGAACGGGAAGGAGAAAGAAAGAATAAAACAGAAACAATTAGGATCACACGGTTTCAGCCAATTACCACTCCCTCCATGGAAGCTGGCCTTGCCCAGCCTCTAAGGCGGCATAACCCCCTGGCGGAAGCACACATGATTGTACGTCTTGGCTGGGGCGTCCCTGGCTGTGCCTGAGGGGCAACAGAACCCGGAGGAGTATGGGCCGGGGAACCAGCCGGACTAACCCCCAACGAGAGCCGGCCGGTGTCACGGGCTGGGCAACTATTTCCCTACCAGTAGAGTAGGTAGTGAGTGTATCAGGGGTATGTAGTGCTGTCGTCAACAAACACTCACCTCTGCTATTTCCATGGTCTGTGGCGGCGCTGGTGCCTGTGAAACGTTATGTATGCGGTCCACTGTGCCGAATCCTCAACTGCCGGCTGATCATCGTCTTCAACCGGGCGGTACAAGTTCCCATATCAAGGCGGTGGGGTGACAGACGCTGTGGCCTCCGGTGACCGTCCCTGCACCGGTAAAGTTTGAGCACGCTGTGTTGGCGATGTCCGGCGATGTACTTTAGCCGCGGGTTGGACTCTGGGCGGTGTTGGTGGTGTGGTATCTCTATATTAATGTAGAAAGAGAAAATGTTATTGTGACAAACATAACATGAAGATTATGTCGTTATGATTCACCACACTAAAACCTAGGCAAAGCGACTTCTGGTATTAGCGACCGTATTTTTATGCAATGGCAGTTCTACATGTAAACTGCACTGTAAACTGGGACCACCTGCGTTCGCACGACCAGCGACCAATTTGTAGTGTGCCAATAACCATTATCTGACCTGCACACAGCAACTGCAGGTGAGGTCCTGGCTGGCATGATTGACTGCAACAATGCTGCCCAGTTCAACTACAATCAAGTGCATGTAGTCTAAAGAAGTGACAAGTGAAAGTGCAGGGTGAGCTACATGCGCTTGAGCATGGTGTTCGTCAACAGGAAAGTAGTAGGGCTTCGAAGTGTGACGTCAGGTCCTTGACGACTTCGTAGCAACTGGATACAAACAACCATTGCGTCCCCCAGCACGTGGTGTTTTGCACTGAAAATTTCAAACTTGATATCATGGCTTGTGCAGATTAGAGTAGATACCTCACAAGAAGTACCCGGATATCCTTTTATTTAGGGGTGTCAACGAGTACTGAGTAGGGTACCCGTACTACCCAGAATTTGATCGGGTAGCAGGGTTGGAATTTGCTCCTTAGACCCCGATCGGGTAGTTGGGAGTATGGTGTTTTTGCAACGGTGCACGTAAACAGCACGGCTATGTGCGTACTGTACACTTTCTGTGTAGCGCATAGGCATCCTTACAGTACACCCTGTGTCAACAAATACCCGACAGGGTACCCGTGCTACCCGGATAGAAATACCCGAACACGTTACCCGACAAAACCCCTTCCCGTTGCAGCCCTACTTTTATTGTCCTTTCGAGACACGAGTTTGCTTACTTTCTCCTCCTTTCTGCAGGGCAGAGTAGAGCAGTGACTTGTGAACACCTGCCCGCCCATCTACACACACGAATATACGAAATAAAGCGTGATGTGGACCCTGGCTAGCGACAGATTCTTCTAAAGTGATCAGATGTGTTTTGTAAAGCTTCGGGAATGAACAGCTGTGGACCCTGCCTAGCGCCAGACGTTGCTAAAGTAACGTTCTTTGCATAGCTTTGGGACTAATGTGCTGTGGACCCTGCCTAGCGCTAGACGTTGCTAAAGTAACGTTCTTTGCGTAGCTTTGGGACTAAAGTGCTGTGGACCCTGCCTAGCGCCAGATTTTGCTAAAGTAACGTTCTTTGCATAGCTTTCGGACTAAAGTGCTGTGGACCCTGCCTAGCGCCAGACGTTGCTAAAGTAACGTTCTTTGCATAGCGCTGGGACTAAAGTGCTGTGGACCATGGCTAGAGCCATACACTACTATTTGTAATGTCTTCTGCATAGCTACATGTATGGGAATACACATGCCTATGGTGCAATTCTTCACTTTACCTGCTTCCAATACTGGATGCGGAGGACTCCTCTGATCCACATGACTGCCGTTGTTGTTGTTGCTGCTGCTGCTGCTGCTGTTGTTGTTGTTGTTGTTGTTGTTGTTGTTGTTGCTGATGTTGTTGTTGCTGCTGCTGCTGCTGCTGCCGTTGTTGTTGCTGCTCCTGTTGGCTGCTGCGGTTGGTGTGGCTAATTGGCCTGTGGTGGTGGCTGCACTGCATTGTCAAGCTGCCGGCACCTGATCAACAGAACAAAACATTTGTTTCTGCTATGTAAGGGGCACGAAAACCGGCTTAGGTTACAAAAAGGTAATGCATTGGACTTTGTCCATATCCGGCCATACCTCAAATACACCATAACATGAATCTCTACCCACGCTTTACAGCGATACGCCAGAAAAAATATCGTGAATAAACTAGCCGGTGATTTATGTACGCCACATACACAGGGGTCAAACAGTTCGTCAATAATATTGGCAATGAAATCGTATGTGTCCGAAGACTCGCAATGAGTAGGATTTTTGTTCCTCCTGAGTTTCGCTTTCCCTAGGACTTCAACAGCCGTTCCCCCTTCCTATGGAGGCTGGAGGCCATACACTCGGCTACAGGCAGTACAGGTACAGGCAGCAACTGCCATGCAGAGCCTCAGACAAGTCAGGTTCAGATGATGATCGCCAGGGGAATTTCTCAAGCCTTGTTCAAAATTCAGTGACGCGCGAAGATTGCTAATTTGCTACTGAGGTACATCCGCAGGATCTCCGACCTGCAGGCGGAGGTAACTACTAGTAATTACTTGTCTGAAAGAGACCGCCTGCTTGCTCCATGGAGATGTTCAATCTGGTTGGCCAGCTGAGTAGATCTACGCAGCTTCGCTCGTGTGAGCAAGACCCACCGAAGGAAAGAACAAAAGTTCTCAACAAATTAAAAATCCTCAAACTAATAATATTAATTATTACTTCGAGAATCCGGCCGGGAACACTGCATGCTGCACTGACAAAAAAAAAAGGTAACCAGGTAACAATTTAATTGTTACCTGGTTACCGCAGTGCTCGACGGCACAAACCGACTACAAGTACAAGTACAAAGACTAAGTAGTCATGTAGATCTGCTATGCGCGTTGAATGCAAGCATTCGTGATACTGCGTGAGGAGGTCTCTATGCGCGTGTGACCAAGCGAACACGTAATACTTGCTGGGCTTATTCAAACTCGACTGATGAGGTGTCCTGAAATACAGACTCAGTAGGGAGTGGTGCTCTCTTGCAGGTTTTCTGAGTTCATGGTTCAATCAATGACTTCTTATGCGCTCAGGATCACAATGTCATAGTCATTTTGACACAATGACAGTCGTGACTTGTGAGTCATTCAAATGTCCAGTCAAGTAACATAGTTAGTTAGCTCCCGTGAAAAGGGTGGGCTTCTACGTAACGTCGTTGCCAGCGACTGTATTTCTTGTCACTGTTGGCGAGGCTGCTACCCGCTCGCGCTATCCATAAGCCATACTTCACAGGGCTGCCAAATCATGCAAGGCGCAAACTAACTAACAGTCATTGCTTGAGTGACAAAACTGGATTCCATCGAGCAGCATGCATGCACAGTCCCCCCAGTCTGTACCTAGACCTGGTTCTAGCCAGGGCCAAAATGGCGGGGAAGTGGCATAGGGGAAACAAAAGGTAACCCGTTACCATTGTTTTCATTGTCCGTGCCTTGTCACATACATAATTATACATGTACACGTACATTCATTGTATGGCCGCAGTGTCGTTGTATGAACTAGCAAGCACGACATCGAAAAATGAGCTGAGTGGCATTAGATTGGTGGTGGCGTGCGGTTGGGGCTCCCATTTGGCTAGAAGAACTAGTTACTTGGGCCTGGCTCTATCGATAGCAGTGGAACTGTGTTAAAAAGGGATTCAATTTGTTCGATTACCCTTGGCATTCTAACAGTGGATGTTGGGATTAGAAGATACGTGTACAGACCACAGTACATTGTACAGTGCACAGTGAGTGTATTGTAGAGGGGACGGTTTCAAATAGGACACCGGTTGCAAACCGGAACGGACTCAATATTCACTTTCTCTCTTGGTATTTTGATTAGAAAACATAATTATGTCACAGTGAGACTACGATGTGTTATACTCCGAGCCAAAATTTCATGGCTCTGCGATGACCAGAAGCGCCATATCAAGCAGGTGAGTTTTTGACGTGTTGCTTCGCACTGCGACTTGAGTTTTGTAAACGACTTTCGAAAAATCAACTTCTTGTCGCAGGTAAACAGCGGCTCGCCTCTCGCCAATAAAGCACCGCATACCAATCAAAACTAATGGAAGCACACACAAGGCTTATTGTTACTCTGTACTGGCCGTCGTGGAGCGATAGCAATTACCTAATTTCAGACCCAGAGTGAATTTGACGTGCACTCTAAAACGTGTCCGGTTTGGAGCCACCTCTGATTTGAACTTTTTTGAAGCGAAAAATTGGGCAACTTGGAGGCAATGGGTCAACACAAAGGAGTGGCTCAGTTCGATTGACTCTGGCCCCAGAGCAAACTTCAACATGCCAGTTTCCTTCCACAAACATAATATTATTTCGAGTGAAAAATCAACGCTGATGATCGGTTTGGGTCTATACAAATTTGGTTGTCAAAACGTCCCTGAGCCGTCCCCTCTACAGTGAGTGTACAGTGCACAGTGAGTGTAGGTCTACAGTGTACAGTGAGTGTACAGTGAGTGTACAGTGAGTGTACAGTGAGTGTACAGTGAGTGTACAGTGAGTGTACAGTGTACATTTACAATGTACAATATCTCGCAAGTCACAACTACCGGTATATGTACATGATTGTGCTGAAAGCCCCAATACTGGCAATACTCAACACACATCCACTACTCCTTTGGTCTGGCCACGATTTTGCTGTTGACTGTGGGTAACAGCAGGGCTGAAAAACCGCCCAGACACAGCTGTGCGCGAATGGCACAAATTACAAGTGTCACGTCATGTTCCAACCATGATAATAGCTTATTGTTTATTTTTTACATATTTTTATTTTATTTTATTCGTGTTCGATATTGAATTTTAATTTTAATTTATTTATTTTTTACAAATATTGTTTTTATTCCATTTCACATTTGTCATTCGTGTTGGGTTTAACTACTCACTGTACTGCTTCTTGCAAAATCCTTTGCCCCGACATTCCCAGCACCTTGAACATTTTATAGGCTTCGACGGGGGGATTGTAACCACAATTCGTCAACGAAAAGCTACATGATTGTACAACCACCCAGCTTGTGAAGCTCAATTTTATCAAGGATATGAAAGGGAAGCTGCGCAAGGATGAAATGTATCAAACATACCTCTGGTTGGTGTAATTATGGCAATCAAGAGAACAAGCTTTTCAACATGTGGATACTATATTCATGCAGTGTCAAGTGATAGAAACAATGCGCCGATGATTGATCACCCTGCACGAATAAAGTATCCACATGTCGATTTAGCTTATTGTCTTCATTAAAAATTGAAAATACAAATTCACGGTTCGCGTGGGACTCGGCCAAAGGCCGAGTTTTCCGCATCCGCAGGAACGCCACCACCCTCTTGGATCATGGCGCAGATGCAGCTCCTAAGCGGTGGCATAGTGAGATGGTACTAAGACCATGATTGAGAAACAGAGGATACCAGGTTCAAGTCCTGCTTGGAAGCGGAAGGATTTTTTCCAGCCGTGCTGCGACCCACAGTTAATTGGGACCTCGTGGCCTGGCACGAGGGAAACATGGATGCAGTGAATGGGATTTTCGGTCTTTGACCGATTTGTGGTGGATCTGATCTACTTGTCTTTATTGTAATAATAAAATCCAAGTAATACAAAATTTCATTAGTTGAGGGAATGGATTGGATCTTCCGGCTAATTCTATCTACAGTTGTGCTGTGATAGAACATACATGTATCACTGCGACTTTGCACATGCGTAGTCAACCATGTACAAGTACAATGGGAGTCAAACATTTCTTCCCTCGAATGTGAATGGGATAGAAACGGGGAGACTCTCAAAGCATGTTATTGGGCTTTGCATAAGATAATCGGCCGGGTGTGAATTTCCTGGAAATAACTATTATCCCTATCCGTGAAGTGCACAATAGCCTCTGTTGAAATCAGTCCTGGCTTGATTTGGAATAAAGCCGACCACTTGTATTCCTATACTATACCCAAGTAAAATAATAAATACTACTACTACTACTATACTGGAGTGGCTTGTGTAGTGAAAGCAAATGGTTGTACATGTACATGTACGTGCCATGCGATTCGAGGTCGTGAAATCAATGTTCCTCTCTAAAACGTGCAGGTTCTGCACACATGCCTTTGGCTGCAGACAACACTTTTCACCCATATCCAACGGACAAATGCAAATCCATGGTATGCATCAAGCAGTTTTAACTTCACTTCACATACCGAAAATCGTTCGCTCACTTGGGTCCTGGCGCTGGAGCCACAGGCGAAGACGCCAGGTTCAAAGAAAACCTTGAACGTCATCGTCACTGCGGTACGGTTCCGGATCTGACTACTCTCCGTGATGTTGCTCTCGGATTCAAGCTGTTTCCTCATATCTCGTCCGCGTCGCCAGCTAAATTGTGTGCTTCTCCATAATTATATTAACACCAACAGGCCAACAATGACCTGCATACCAAACACCTTTTCCATTGTGCTGTTCCCTCTCAATTTCTCTAAAAAGCATTTTTGACATTGGACTCTGCTGAAATGAATTTCCGACGTGAGGGGAGCGTTAACTTATTTAGAGTTTCTGTACCTGGCCCTGGTGGGTACCGGAGCTGCATGGCTTGTCTCATTGCTGGTCAACCCGATTGTAATCATGCGTATCGCAAGGGGAATTCTAATGTCCAAACCGCAGTAACACAACATCGCCATTACTATTATTATCGGCACAGCCTAACACGTTTATGACACATAAACTGCAGAGCTAGTCGCATCCATGAACGAACAAACCAATCTACTACAGCATAGTCAATGACACCCTGCATTGCATATTGTCGAGCATAGCGCGCACTCTGAACGGGGGTGCTGGAATGGAAAATGCCAGTCGATGGATGTACTTGTACATGACCACCTGACAGGCACTGCAGGAGCGATTTTGACAGAAAGCTAGGAATAACTAGGCCTACCCTACAGAGTCCAACACTCCTCTCCGGGCCGTATATGTATCTGTTCGCACTTGCAGACAGGCTGACTTTATCTTGCGGCCACGTAGCCAACCTAACTCTGACAGAGACCATACTTGGTTTTGACAGTGACCTCAGAAACTGCCAGACATGTGTTAGGGTGGTACACGACTATTTTTGTGAGAATGACAACCCCAGGAGTCAAGCCTCACTTTCACCTGCGGCTCGTATCGTACACTCTGGCTGTCCAAGTTCAGCCCATCAATACCACAGCACAATTATCTCAGTTTCGCCAAGTTGTTTGGAGAGCGTTGCGTTTTCCTGCAGCACCCACACTTATCAGACAGGACTAACCAAGATTACTATTCACTAAGCATATACGGGAGAGGTGTGAGAAAGGGGCAGGGATGATGAAGGGGCGGTATTTCAGTGGGGCGAGAAAAAGGAGGTGGCAAAAATCTCAGCTTTATTGGAGACTTTATCAGGTGATTCTTATCAACCACCGCACCACA